ACACCTACTGTGTGCCTGGCACTGCACAGGGGGGACAATCACTTTACAGCAGAGAACCATGATGGGCCCTGCCTTCTTGGGACCACAGTGAGGTAGTCCTGCTCCTCCCCCACCCCAGCCCCAACCCTTCCTTTCAGCTCCCATCACACACCTCTCCCCTCCCCTCCCTCTCCCAGCTTCCACCCCCAGCCCTTCCTCCAGCCCTCTGCCAGCTCCTTCTCAGGGGTCCCCCACCAGCCCCAGGCCCACAGGAGCAGGGACCTTATGAGCCTCTCCAGCCCAGCCCACCCCCTAAGACCCTCACCCCGAGAAGGAGCAGGCCCTTCTAGCAGGGGTCCTCAGGAGCTCCCGGACCGGGCTCCTGGGTACACAGAGTCGGGCTCACATCCTGCCACCCTCCATTGTGCCTCCCCCCCCCCAGCAGCACAGAGAGGTCATTCCTTCCAAAGCAGAGCCCAGGGCGGCCTCGGATCTCATGCCAGTCCCTCCGCACCGCACACCTTCAGGGGCGAGGCACCCGGTCCCGCAGGGCCTTGTTGGAGGCACCTCATGCGACTTTGGGGGTCACAGCCCCTCTGAACTTGCCTTTGGTGTCTCCACATTCTCCCAGAAACCCTTCCTTTCCCAGAGCCTCAGACACCCCTCCTCCCCTCTCCCGGACCAGCGTGCAGGCCCCAGATCAATCCATCTCTCCCCTCCCCTCCCTCCATCAGATCCTGCTTTCGGCAAGAAAGGATCTGAGGGACTCACTCCTACTCAAGCAATAATGATGAATAATAGCTTAATGTGGGTGTTTACAGGGGACAGCAACGCTGCTTTAACGGAGGAGTTCCAGGCACTGAGAAGAGTGAGTGGAGGTGAGGGGCTCAATTCCCCTCCTCCTCTCCCCACGCCAGTTCAGCTCAGTTCAACAACTCAGTTCCTTTGAGTTCTGACTGTGGCCGATTTGGGCAGGATGCTAGGACAGAGATACAGAAGCTTGGTTCAGTGGGTGGGAGACAAGACCCCCAGTAACAATCTAAATGCCAGGTGGCGAGTGATCAGGGCTATCAAAGGGGGTGCAACCTGAGCCTTACAGGGCTCAGGGAGAGAGTGGGCACAGGTGTCCGGAAGGGGCAGGGGGGTGGGAGGGAATCAGGACTGCCGCTTGAGGAGGGGGCACCTGAGTAGGTGGAAAGAGAGGCATGGGCATCCAGCAAAGGAGTGTGCAGCAGTGTGCCTAGTTTGAGGAGTTCCGTTGGGCATATGAGGTGTGCGGCTGGGCAGAGGATGTGGAGGAAATGACCTGGCCCCAGCCAGGTCCTCCCGGGGACCCAGGAAGGGGGGGGGGGGGCGCAGAAGAAACTCAGATCCCCTCCTTTGACTGGACGCCACCGTGGGCAATTCTCTTGACCTTAACTCACTAACTCATGTGAGCCAGAGCTGAGAGGTGGTGTCTTGTACCCATTTTGTGGATGTGTGACTACTCAGTGCTCTTTCCCAGTAGTGGCTCCAGAATCTCTATATGGAAGGGGTTCTGTTGGAAGTCAGGGGTTAAACCTGCATTTCAGGGCAATGATGATGAGGAAACACCAACAGTCCAGTCCGTGGGGAAGGATGAGGGGAGGAGTCCTGAGCAGCCTGTTCCCTCCTTCCCTCCAGGCCCCTGAACTAATGGAGGTCAGGACCACCTGCGACCCTGCTGTGAGCATCCCCATCACCCCTGTCCCCCCCCAACCCCCCCTTCCCTTGCCAACTCCGAGGGGCCTGGGTGAGATGACAGAACCAAGGGATGCTGGCGAACCCTCCCCCACCTTGGTGGCCCCTGTCGCAGTCCTGGGGCTGTGCTGGGGCCTCCGGGGATCCGGCTTTGATTCTCCACATTATGGCCTGGGCTGGTCGTAATGAGGCTGGAGTTATGGGTGAGGAGGAGGCACTGCTCCGGAGCCTTCATTTCCTGGAGCTTATGACTTCCCTGCGTGCAGCAGGAACTGTTCCCCTGACTCTGTCAGGCAGTTCCAGGGCTCATCACAGCCCTGCAGAGATGCAGAGGGGAGGGGCTGATGGGAAGGGGGCTGCGGTGGGGGGGAGGGCGCCCAGGAGGTGGAAACCAGAGGAGACCTCCCAGTGTTTGCAGGCACCCATTGCTGTTCTCTCTTCTTCCCTCTCTTCCTTCTTTTCTTTTATCTTGGTGGCACCTTTTACAAGAGGGAGGGGGTACCTACCACACTAAGATTCAATCATTCATTCATTCATTCATTCATTCATCAAACATTATCATAGTCTACAATTGGGGAGACAGAAATGCATTTCATTCATTTATTCAACTTTAAAAATAATTTCTCTGTGAAAGACAGCAAGATGCAATCAGCTTTACATCAGGAGAGAGATGCATTTCTTTTGTTATTCATTTACTCTTTCTACAAATATTTACCAGCACCTCCCTAATGCCAGCCACTGTGCTGGGCACTGGGGACAAAGCAATAAACACAATAAAGTCCTGGCCCTCATGGAGCCGCTTTTCTGGTAATAAAGGAAAGAAATCTACAACATAATTTCTCGGAGTAATAAGTATTAAGAAGGAACATAAAGCAGGAAAAAGGGAGGAGAATGATGAAAGGGCTGGGGTGGGTGTGATGTTATAGGACATCAGGGAGGGCCTCTCAGAGGAGGTGACATTTAGCAGATCCGAAAGGATGAGAAGGAGCTGAGCACAAAATAGTTCCACACACAGAGGGAACAGCCTGGGGAAAGACCCAGAGGCTGGAACAAGCTGAGGAATGGCGAGAAGGCCCCTGTAGCTGGTATAGAGCACGGGAGTGGCTGACGATGAGGCAGGAGAGAGGGGTCTGGGGCAGGTCAGGCAGGACCTGGAGGAGGGAAGGCAGGTTCCATTTTCTTGTGAGTGTTTAGAGAAGCCCTGGGAGGAATTCTGTACAGTCAAAACCACAGGAGACTGCAATGGTACATGGCCAAATGGGCATTTCATGATGTGGGTCCTGACCTGAGGGACAAGCACAGCACAGAGGGTTGCAGAGCACACAGCATCACAGAGAGGGTGGCACTGGAAGTGGAGGCACAGGAAGGATTTGGACATGTGGAATTTGGGGGGCTGGGAGGAGAGGGAGTGCTCTGCGGAAGGGCTGCCTGGGGCAAAGGCTTGCGGTCAAATCCCACGTTAGAAAGGGGTAAAGTCCAAGAGTGTTGTCCAAGGTTGCATGGCATACTTGGTGATGGAGCAAAACCTCGAACCCAGGACTTGGATTCCCCGTGGCGTAGGGAACCTTTGGGGAATGGGAAAAGATGCCTTCCGGAGGGAATGCAGCCCGGTGCCAGGGGACATGCTTGGCAGGATACAGGGACTGCACCTCAGCCCCACCTGCCCCCTTGGCCAGGCGCCCTTGCACGGGGAACACCCTGCACTATGGTCTGAGGGGCGGGGCCCTCACAGCCCCCATCTCTCCTTCCCACTCAGGCTTTCCTGCCGCAGCCCACCAGGTCCTCCCTCGGGCGTGTTGGCCAGGTTTCCTGGCCGTTTGCCAACTCTTCACCGCTCTGCACAGCTCTGCCGCAGACACTTCGGCCTCCTCTCTCCTTCCCTTCCTCCCTTTCCTGCTCCAGCTGCTTTTCCTGAGTGGGTGTCAATGACAGGACCCAGTCCTGATGTTCAGGGTCGTTCAGGGGACGCAGCTGTGGAGCCCTGCGGCTGCTTTTGGCTCTGCTGGGCCTCACCATGAGATCTGGGCATGTTGGTGGCCTTCTCTGGGCCTCAGGTCTCAACCGACCACAGAGTTGTTTAATCCCAAATGGGATTACAAACCGAGTCCCAGCCCAAACCAGTAAACGTTGGTTTTGCCCTGCCCACTCTGCAGCCTCACCTCCTATAATCCACGTGCCCTCAGGTCCATGTATCTGCATGTGGTTCCTATGTGTATGCTGGCGTGTGCCTGCAATCACAGATGTCAGCATGTGTGTGTGTGTGTGTGTGTGTGCGCGCACGCGCATGTGTGTGTGCCTGGTGCACATTCACTCATTCCACAGATATTTGTGAGTTTCTACTCTGTGCTGTTCTAGGCACAGTGGAAAGAAACAGGAAGAGTCCTTGACCTTGTAAGTCTAGAGGGGGACACAGACAACAAAGAAATAAATGAATAACATGCCAGTAGATGCTAAGAGCTATGGAGAAAAACAAAGTAGGGTAAGGAGCATAGGAAATGCTGACATGGGGGATTTTCTTTCTCAGTCATCTATTGTAAGTGATGATTTATATAAGGTGGTCAGGGAAGGCATCATGGTTAAGATGACATTT